TACTGCCGATTTCCATGATGTCGCCAGTTCACGTTCCGCTCCGCAAGTTAGTGACGAGAGTGAGCGTAGATATATTTCCAGTTGTTCATCAGCCATACTGAATTTGCCGGGGCTTATGAAAACGCAAGTACTAAGCGGATTTAAGACGGAGGCGCAGAGTCGACTGTCAGAAGTTGGATTGGACATGGCCAATCTTCCGGATAGAATAAAAAATGGTTAAGCCCAACGCGAATGATACCTCAGTGTCTTAGTATAGTACATCGGAAAAGAATCGGCGCATAGCGACAATCGTTGTAGGAGCACTGAGTGGTTGCACACAAGAAGTACGATGCAGATCGTTACCAGATAGCTTATGGCCACGGCGGAGTACACATTGATATGTACAAACGGTTGTGTACTAGGACATTTGCAAAACAATGCGAAAACTGTTTGGAAAGTCTCCTGTTTGACAGTAGGCAGCGGGACTTAGTTGATGTAGTACTGTGGTAGTTGTCGTGCTAACGAGGTCGTAAGCGGCGAATATTTGGTATTGATACCTGTCAAAGTTTAAGGTTGCGCAACAGTCGTTCTTTGATAAGCTGCATGTACCTCGGGCAGCCCATGACCGGACCGGTCGGTGATACGGAGAGCCTGAAGTGAACAACTCATTGCATTCACACGCTGTTCGATCTCCCCATCAGCTACGCAAACCAGACTGAACATACAGACGGCAACACCTAAGTACATACTGGTTTACTGTGCCAGTTTATTAATCATTCTACCTGGTAACCGTATTGATGGCAGTTGCTTCACTATTCCTATATCGTTTTCGTTCAATTATGTATGCCCAAGATTTAAGGCTGTCACGTCTAAATGTTAAAGAAAACACCAACAGTTCGTATTGGGTACTTATCTTCATGCCTGCGAAAGTGGCTGTCAGCCTGATCTCCAAACGAAACCCATACACGTTTGTACTACTATTGTTCATGAGGTCTACTGTGTCTCTATCCAGTTTGTGGCAGTTCATACTTGAGTTTGGACAAACGCATGTGCACATGTTAGTTTCGAACTGCCATTGGATACCGATGACGCCAATCCATGTATATATGTATACCAAATGAATTCGACGAGGATACTCATACCGTTCTGTACGGCCAACTTAGTGCATGGAAGCGGCACTGGGGCAAACCGAAAATAACATTACCAGGACATGAAGACGGTGAGTGTAGGACAAACTAATGTTAATTTCAGATGTTGTGAATCCAAGGGAAGGTTGATCGATGCGAATTCCGTGGACTGATCAAAAGCCGGTTGCCCATGTGCAGGAGAAGGCGCTATTGCACGCGGAGTAGAAGCAGGATGCATACGCTTCCATTAGATTTACTAATCCAGACCAATAAGGCGGCGTATGTGGTACGTTTGCCTGCGTGATGAGTATCCTTGCATTTCGGAAGTAGTTGTTGTTTGAGCTCCCCGTTGTAGCTGTGCCTGATGTGAATGTTGACAAGGTACCTACCTGTCTAATACCCTCCACCTCGATTGCTGGCTCCAGCAGACAGTTGGTCGTTGCTGGAGGGGACGGGGTGCACCGTCCTCGTGACGATGCTGGGCTCAAAGAGTGGTTCCATCCTGTGTGAAACGGGGTACGGTCCAGCCACCGCCTTGTGTACGTCTTGTGTGCATGATTTTCCAATAAGGCCAGAATGCTTCTGTTCTGCTTGTTGAATGAGTGTGGACCGACTCCGTTGATGAAACGTAGCTTCCATCCACATACCTTCCTTCGGGTTTACACCAGATATGGGGTGTGTGGGTAGTGCAGCGCAAGCCGCCTATGGTCCCTCTGTAAGCGCAGGCGTCCAGTGGCTGTCCCCATGGAGGCCACAGTGAGACAAATCCGGACACGGATGCTGCCAATCCAGCGATTATCAAGATGTGGACATTTCATGATGCGCTCCACATGATAGTGATGAGAGTGAGCATAGTTATATTGCCCATCGTGCATCAGCCAAACCGAATTTACCTGCGCTTATGAAAACGCAGGTATCATATGGATTGAAGGCGGAAGCGCAGAGGCATCTACTAGAAGTTGAATTAGGCATGGCCATTCTTCAGAGGAGACCAAGAAGGTAATTATATATATATATATATATATGTATATATATATATATATATATCTTGATAATCGCTGGTCAGTTGATTGTCAGGAGTGTTCACTTGCCACGGATATTCCAGGGCGATTTTTTTCGAATGCATGGTCCAACGTGCTCACACTAGGGAAAATCGTTGTGCATTTTGTTCCATATTTCAAACTTTACACTTTACGGGCACTGTAAACAGCTAAGCGCGGATAACCTTTGATTCACGCCTATCCACCGAATTGGAAATATACTCCATAAATTGCCACGCTATCCGAGATCCGTAGCAACATCTTCATTCGCTCGGAAACTCCCGCACACACCAACTACGATTGAACTCATGGATGGATTTGACCTCCATCCTGCGATGCACCGGCTCTCTAAACCTCGCGCTAGTAAGTATTGGGCAGCTGGTCGAGATAGGGTCAGGTAATCTACCAGTCGATTTCCAGGAGCAGGATGTAGGTAGCAAAAGTGTTCGTGTCAGCCTCGCATAGTGTGGTGATTAATACCATGGTACATACATAGTGATGTGAATCGCGGACGAATGATAATACGAAGAGGAATGATGCCGTAGCTCACTGTCCCGGTATGTCAACGTAGTAGAATCCGTTTGAGAAAGTAGCATGGGTATCATAGGTCACGATGAGTACAGCAGTGTAGTGGGCTACATGTGAAGTCATCGCGAAATACAACCGAGTTAAGTAAGCCCAATAGAAGGTAGGTTAGATGTGGCTCTTCCGTCTTGGTGCAATGTAGTATCTTTATTGCGCCAGTCCAAGTCAGCAGTTAATCATTCTAGAGTGCAACTGTACCTGAACGTGGTTTACATGAGCGATAGAATAAGGATGACACAAAGAATATGACGGAGATGGAGTGGGCAACTTCTCAAATTAGCCGGCGAATGGTTCGCTTAAGTCAACTGATTTTCATAAGCACAGGTTAGTCAGCGGATGAAGAACGGGAATTATAGCTATGCTCACTTTAACGAAGAAGTAAAACCACAGTGGGACATTGATGACTTATCATTGGTGTGTGCTGTGAATGCCGTCTTCTTTATTAAGTGCAGGCTATCCGTGTTGGAAGGTAAACCAGAGCCGGTCCAGTCGTCTCTTGTCCGAGGTGAGACGTGAGCAGTGTTATAAATCCATCATTTCATGTAAAACTTGGATGCAATGTGTTAAGGCGTAAACGTTGAAGCTGGCTGGTGTTGGGCGTTCCGGACTCCCAAGTTGGGGACCAAAAGACCCTAAGTGCACCTGGTTGCAAACGCTGGAGGATATGGCCAAGAACCGTACGCAATGGTGCACTTCCTGAGACTCTTTTACCCTAACTGTTGTTTTCCGTTTCATGCTATCCTTTTTTCTTCTTATGTGTTGTGGCAATCAGCCAATTATATTGTGATTGGTACGGGGTAGATTACTATATATATATATATATATATATATATATATATATATATATATATATATATATATATATATATATATAATATATATACCCCATGCTGAGGCTGATGTTACATTCTTGATGCCTCTTCACCGCAGTTGGGCTAAACCAACTTACACTTAAACTAGGTACTTTTAAGCTGGGTAAATTTCATTCCACTTTATTTGGTTTGTTCTGCCTATCTGAGTAATCTTCTATTAGCTGGCCACGTTGCTTACGCCGACTGCGCTTATCTTCGGTAAGTTTGTTGCGATTGCAGCATGTTTAAGTAACTTGTGTTACCGACGCTGACCGCTTCTATGGTAATTTATCAGTTCGAGTGCGCCTGTGGCGCCACTTACATCGGTCGAGCGGCGCGGCAACTGTCGAAGCGCATTAAGGAGCACCTACCATGTTGGTTGCGTCGAGGCGGTACTGGGGCTATAACTAGCTCTGTTATGGCTCATCTTGTTGATAATGGGCATGAGGTTGATCCAATTAGTGCCTTTCGAATACTATACAGGGTCCCTCCACTCCAGTCGAAAGGCTTGCGCCTCCGCACCCATGCTACTGCTGAGGCGATCAGCATACGGTTGTATCAACCGCTTTTGTGTGCACAAAAGAAGCTAATCGAAGATGTTAAGCTACCTTGGCCAACCAAAACGGATCCTTCTGAGAGCAACTGTAATTGTGCAACTGCACCTCTGTCCCAGTTTCCCGTTGGCTACTGGTTCATGCTTTTGGTCGGCATGTGATCCATCTCATTTGAATTGATCGTTAATCCACCTTTACGCCCGTTGCTATTTCACTCATATGATTGCACGGGTTTGAAGATGAATCATCAAAAACAATTGTTTACCTTCGCTCTTTTGTTCTTGATAATGAAATGGGAATTTTCTAGTTACCGTTTTTACTCATCGCGGATTCGTTGCTAATCAACTTACTGATGCGTCCGCAGAATCCACATTTGCAGTATGACTCTGAGAACGAGTGCGATATTTAGTCGAGTCGCTGATGTCAAACCCTATAGTTTATTCGGATGCCCCTGATTCCGGAGTTATGCGACGCGTAACACAGATTGATAGGAAAATCGACCGAAAAGTGACAACCACAAACTACAGGATCGTGCTGCAATGAAAGAAGATTGGCAAATATAACCTTAATTGAACCCGACGGTTCCGCCCCAGCTATGCCGACCAGCAATCGGAGGCAACAAGATTGGGTTCGCCCCGTGGGTAACCGTTGTGTATAGCTAGACAACAGGGGATTAAAATATAGGGGATAACGATTGCGATGTGGATCCCGTTGCAGCAATATTTTCTGCTCTGCGTGACGAGGTAAACAAACTAAAAAGAGCGAGCCCCAACAAGTCGCACCTCGTCAATGCATCGCCTGCATCAGCAACGTCCCACATTTCTGTCAACACTGCCAGACGTGCATAAGAAAAAAGGCAACGCATTTTAATGGGAACACGTGAGTATCAAGTGTAAAATATGTTATACACTGTACAGGCATGTGACACTAGGGGAACATCCAATGCGACAATCATTCTGCATCGGACGTAAGCGAACCAAATACAGTGAATGGAACCGGTTGCTTTTCGATATTAATGTCTGTAAAAGAAATGGAGGACAAATAAGATGAGAAAGTAGGGATAGCGCGAAATAAGGCGAATACGATGCAGACGGAAGATGACACAAAACAACGCTAAATTCAGGTCGAGACATGGTGGCCAACCAATGCATCGCATATCACATCTGCTAAGTATTATCAGCGTTCCCATTACCATCAGTTAATGGCGCCGAGCATGTAACAAATCGATAGAAAAAATTGTACAGGTCTCAATGAGGGATATCAGAAATAGGCGTCAAATGAATCTAGTGATGGCAGAGCAGACAGGCGCTACAAAAACAGTAGACGCAAATCACAATTAAAACTGAGAATGTCGATTCGTCGCTATCCTACTAATGACTATTTACTCAGTCAGGAGGAATACACAAAGTTGCACTGGATGTGCGAAACACTCATGAAAAGCAACGTCGAGTTACATAGACAAAAAGCATCACCTACCAACATCAGTGGGTATGTCCATTTCTTCTTCTTCGTCTGTGTGTCTGCTACCACCGCGATCAGCTTTCGTTGTATCGACGGTTGTATCAGTGGATGGTGGATGGGGTCCATGCAATTGGGGACGTTGGTGATCGAGATTTTCCACTCCAGCAGAATGGAACATAACGAATGGCCGAGTAGGTGGCCTTGGATTTTCTGAGGATGCTTGAGATTGCTCGTTGTCCAATCTCTGCATTTCACTTGGGACTATTAGGATGAAAAAAGAAAAGTATGTAAAATGTATCTCTCGCAATGAGATTGGACCTTAACGTGGTACGACAGTTTACACATCACTTTGACCCATTAAGCAATAGTGGATGATGCCCCTGGGACCCTTGAGAGCTACTCATACCAGGCCAGACAAACTCAGTTTCCTGGTCCTCCAGGTCGGCGATTCGAAATGGGATGGCGTTTATTTCTGCAAAACGAAATCATTGATACCTCCCCGCTGCCTTGCGGACAGGTTTTTGAGCCAAAGGCTTTGGTTGAGGACCCTAATCGTCCTCTTGTCTAAGTCTGGGCACCCTGGCAGCATCAACTCACGTACAACCATGATCCTTTCATCAAACTTCAACCACATCCTGCATCGGCCGTCGCGCAGTTTCTCAAGCGTAGCTTTATCTGCATACAGCAGGGCGGAGAAGCGAAAACCCGCTACTGCTGGTGCCTCCCTTTTTCCACGTCTTCCTATTACCCCGTTCACAACCCCTAGCTTAATCGAAAGCAGTCGTAATGCCACTGCAGTCGAACCATCTGCAGCTACATGCCCGCACCAAACACTGGAAGCCTATCGGCAACAGAGCCTTATAAGGCCATGCTGTCACCTTCCCTTAGTCACGTTTAACGTTCGCACTCTAAGACAAATAGATCGACAAGCTGCACTTCTACTCCCGTTAGACACACTGAGTATTGGCGTGTGTTGTGTGTCCGAAACTAGGATCAATGACCCGGCTTGTCCTCTCGCTAATGGTTGCACGCATCCGGAGACGCTGATGCGGCAACCAGGGGTTAAGCTGGAGTTGGCATTGTTCTCAGCTCCAAGCCTGAGTCGTCATTGGTTGACTGGATTCCGGTGAACAGTCGTCTGTGTGCAGCCCGCTTGACAACATCGACTATAGTCGATTCATGAAGTAGTACAAGACACTGTTTGTTTGTACTTTCCGGGCTGCAGTTCTGATGTTGCCAAGGACACATTCTCTCACGAACACGCTACTACGCAGTGCTACCAGTTCAGATGTCATGGCACTTGCAGGGAATATGAATGCCTAGGCTCCTCAGAAGCTCTGCTAGGTGATAATTATGGACTTAATTCCGAACGAACGGACAACCGCGAGCGTGTTTTGCAACTGTGTGCGGAGCACCAGCTGTTACTCAGTAGCACTGCTTGTAGACACAGTGGGCACCGAAGTGCCACTTGGCGTCCTTCTCCAGCGATGGACCCAAATAGATCACATTGCCATAAGTTACAGGTGGCGTGGTTCCGTACTGGATTGCCGCTCGTTCGGGAGTACCTGCGTCGACTTTGATCATGCCTTGGTACGCTGTCGTTTTCCATGTACTTTACCGGGAGGTGCACCAAGCGTCTCCTCCGATTGGCAACTGAGAAAATGTTGCAGCCCTCGGTCAGCTAAGCCTATCAAGATGCACTGCGTACCGAACTTTTGCTGTTGTGTCCTAACGACACTGACGTTCAGCAGAATAGGATCCCGGCGGCCACACACAACGCAGGAGCCTATGCTTGTGGCACAATCAATCATCACCGTACCAGTCACTAGATATCTGAGAGGTCGATGAACCTGTTGGAATCCAGAGGAAAACTCCTGGCTGGCTCTGAACACAGTGTAACATGGTGAATTATTAGGTGCGAACTAAAACGGAGCCTGCCCGTTTAAAAGGAAACCTAGTGGATCAGTTGGGTTCAAGAAATGGAGGAGGCAGGAGCAGTAGGGAACTATCGCAAGCTCTTCCAACTGACGCGCATCACTGGTCCAAGAAAACCAGGCGTCAGTGAGACAAGAGACAGTGCTGGTGCTCTGATTCGCAATAAGAAGCGCCGTATGGCCCATTGGGCGGAACACTTTCAAGATCAGTTCAGTTGACCCCTTGCTTCCGGACCACTTCCTTCTCAGGTGATGCATGATGAACCATGAACGGTTAGTGTAGAAGCGCCATCGGAGGATGAGGTCCGAAACGCGATCACAGCCCTCTACCGTTTTCCGGCTGCTGGCCCGGATTCCCTCGCACCCGCACTATTTAGGGATGGAGGTGAGATCCTCCAATGGTACTGGAGTGCTGATTTCCTATCCTGAAGGATAAGTAGCAAGGAGGGAATCTAAGCTGCAGAGTGGGACAGTGAAGAAGGAACGCAAATTATGAATCCGTGACTCCAGGAAATATCAAACAAGTATGCGCAAATTTGCGGAAACAAGGATAAGTGGGAGATGAGTGTTTGGTGAAACGTGCTCGCCGCAATGCATTGCACATTCCGTGACTGGTTTCGGGCTTGATAGCACCCCCGTCAAGCAGCACTGCGACTCGAATCCCCCGACCATGCATGCATGTACTCTGGAAAGCAAAAGCCGACACTGCTACGCCACCACCGGGCTGCGAGCAACCACCCGGTTAATGACCAAGCGAGGGTCATGCTGAAGCAGTGTGACTCGCAATCTCAACAAGGGTAACGATGCGCTCTGGAATGAAACTTGATCAAATTGAGCACTGGGACCGCATCAGAAGCAGATAATACAAGTTGGATGAGCATTACTCGCTCGTAACAATGCACTCTATAGGACTGTTTTCGTAGTTAGCTGTACTCGGAAAGCAGGGATAACTGGAATGCGACTCAAAAAAGGCATATCATGTTGCCTATGAACGTGTGACGATGTTAACTCGGAGAGCCAAACTCACTTGCATTCTGAGCATCGGTAGCAGATCCGGCTTGAAGCTGGCTGGCCACGAAGCTAACACGTGTGTTGTAAGTGGCCTGCACACTACGGCGAATGCGCAGCATTTCGCGGAGAGTGTCTTCGTTTCCATGCGCAATTTCAAATTCTTTCCAGGTTTGCCAGAAATGAGGTTCAGTCTGAAGCAGAGAAAGTTAAATATGACCGTGCATGTGTCGAAGATTGAAAAGTGGACCAGATATTAGGCAAGCGGTATAGTTAGGGTTGCCAGTGCAAAGAAGACTAAACAATCATTCGTCGACAGGCCACAAAGCGATTCAGTTTATTGAAGATTAACTACACACCTTCACTCAAGGTACAAACACTAATGGCAGTTAACGGTGATGAATAAGAACAGCAAGTAGAAAAGCAATAAGTGGAGGGTTAACAAACAATGGAACAAATACGAGAACTCCAATGTTTTCGTAGTTTCCCGCTGTCTAGTGCAGTTTCATGTCATTGATGTGATCGATTTCGAAGCGCCCATTAAAAAGGATGAGGTACATCAATCGGACTGAGTAGTTCGGTCCGTGTCGCCATGACATCCACGACCACACCGCAGCTTCAGCTAACCAGACGTCGCACTGGTAAACAACTGACGAAACCCTGGGTGGTGGTTGCTGTAAGCCAGTAAATCGCATGGTCTAGCGAAGTCAGGCGACTAAGGTACAACAGTGCCAGAGTCGGTTACCAAACAGCAACTAGGGTTCCACTCTCGGCTCCGACTAGAAATGCACAAGCAAGGCTGAAACCGATCGCGGATTGCAGCGTTGGAAGTGAGCTACACTGGAAGTCTCCACCAATTGGCGAATTACATCACGCACTCCTGGTAAACTACTACATAAATGTATTGCTTTGCAGGAACCTATGATAGACATTTTCAAAATACACCATCTATACACCTGATAGATAGGGTGAAATCGGAGGTGCCAGTGTTCTAAATGATGGAATCAATTGTCAGGCGCCTACTACATATCCATGGAAGGTTCGAAAGGTAAACGGATCTCATGGGCATGCGAAGTATGGGAGAACCGGTCTCCGGATGTCATAAGCCTACTAAGGTGAATGAACGAAACGGCTGTTTTAAGTGACGATTAAGTGGTAGGGGAAATAGATGGCTTATCAGCTTGGTTATGAAACAGTGGTTAGAAGGTTGGAAGTGACAAGTACGCGCCGAAGCGACTTGCGCTCTGCGTCGATTTAGCTGGTAGTGTATATGAACAGATGGGCTTGCGTATCCCAATCTTCTGAGTCGGTCACATGGCATAACCCCAGACTTAGCAGAAGCAGCTGATGCAGATGCATTCGTGAGCGTTTCGACCGCACACCCGAAGATGAAAGAGGAAAAAATATGTTCCCGAAATAGTGAACTCAAAAGATTTCTTAGGAGATGGGGAGAGCAGTTAGGAGGGAAATGGGAGAAAAGAGAAGGAAATCGGTGACCGAGTCCAACGGATGGGTCGCATTCCCAACTACTCGTTCCGACGGAAGCCAATGTGACACTCAAAGCAGTAGGGAATGGACTCAACTCGGAGATCTATCCGCAGGATCTCACCAGGATATGCATTAGGAAAATCACAAGCAGTAGGAGGAGGTCTAGTGCAAAATAACGCAAATAGTTCAAATGGACCCCACAAGAGTTTTGTAGAAGAGATGCCGTAAATCCGAAAGCATCTTGCAAAGATGGGAAAAGTCGAACAAAAAGGTGGACGAAACAACTCGATTATTAGCTCTAGTCCACTATTCGTTATCGATCTGCTGGCTGACCACGCTAAGCGATTGTGTGCAATCATCCAACAGCCGAGGAGGCATAGACAGGATGCAGCTAGCAGACTTCAAAAAGTGACGAGGTGGTTGTAATAAGATTAGCAAACATGGCACCTAGAATGCAACAGAAATTATGCTGGACCCGTTCGGGCTCACGCCGAGCCCATTGACAAAAGTACAACATACACCCCTAGGTCGAATCTTACGGCAATCGACCGGAAACGTCGTCGAACAAGGTCCTTGCAGCTAGATCCATGTCGTCCAATGTACGAGATTTCTTAAAAGAGGTGTTAGGAAAACGCTGGTTGTCCCAAGAACTGGAACCAACAAAAACATGGATTTATTATTAGCCGTAATTTTGATTGTTAAACGGCGCGTGCACATCCGTTCCCCCCTCAGGCCAGAATCGTGATTGGCCAACTTCTCTAGGTCGTTAGTGGACCTATAGACAGGTGTTTCATCGATGAATGCCTGATTTGTCATTAGAATATATCTCGTTCGGAGGTCTTGTCTTCTGCAATGTTGGGGTTGGGTCGATGGATCGAAAGCCGAATTTGTGCCAAGTCCGTGAACAAAGTTGTGTGCCTTTTATGGGTTTACCGCGCCTTGCGCGTGTTCGTACTCAACTGCGATAGTGACCGTTAGATCACAACAAGTTACACGGAAGCAATACGAGAGAATTGCACCAGGCCGCACTTGACGTGACGCTAAAAAAATTATGGCTTTAGACCAGAACGGGATGGGCGAAACAATGGTATCTTATTAATCGCCTGGGTGTCAACCGTAGAAAAAGTAGGGTGATATAAGTCTTTGAAACACAAGGCCATGAAGGCGGTAAAATTACAATTCCCTTAAGAGATAAGAAAAGACAACATACCCGAGGATCGCAAATCTGCGCACAATAAGCGTAGATTGCACGAGCGCGATCTACTTCACCCAACTTCCTCTCGAGTTCTGCAAAGCGTAGACACATTTGGCGAGCATGCTCCTCAGGAAGCCTCTCGATAGCCTGTTCGTAAGCCGGTCTGGTATGAGTGACACCGTGCAGATCAGCGATACGTTGGATGTAGATGTTGAACATCTGATGTATCAGTGAGAAACAGTGAGTGGGTGGGTATCAGAGAACCAATATAGGTATTGAACCGATGACACGCCGACGATCGTCGGAGAGACAAATAAAGACGACGAGCACCATCATCATCATAACACAAGCTGAAGGTGAGGAACACATTTTAACTACTGTGTCGTGATAAAGTGATAATACTCAGAGAATAAAAAACAAGTAACATAGTATCTAACATATTACGTTTACAGAAAGAAAGTGTGGTTCCAGAGGGATGATATGCGCAATAAAAAAGGACACTCATAACAAAAACACCACTGAGGTCGACCATTTGCCATGTCAGCTAGTGTATTCAACCAAACGTGTTCACCGTCCTTCGGACGTTATGCAGCATTCGGGAAACACCACCCACGCCAACTGCGAAGTGAGAGACTTCATTCCTCTTGACCAAATCATCGCTTGGCTTACCCTCCTCTTCGTCCATTCACACCTCCGGCGCGCAAACAACGCACGTCGCGACAGTCCGTGTGCTGGCATGATTAAGTTCATTGTCAAAGCGTTCGGCCCAACGCTCCAAGCGCTTAAAAAATATGGATTGCTAATGAGGAATGGGGATTTGGGTGTAGTTCGTCGCAGTCCCATCTGCACAGTTTGTAAATGGCGTGGCAGCGGGGGATGAGCCGTGTTATATCGTAATCAACTGTCAGTCACGGAGGTCCGCCGCCGTCACCCATGGCTTAGTGGCACAAGCTGCTGGCATCCAGGAGTTATGAGGTCAGAACCCGGCAGGGGTCCGAGGAACGCGCACCACTGACGAGACCCAGAAGGTTGAAACAACTGCGTGGTGCTTTCCCAGATTGTGGGTCTGGCTGAATAGGAGACGACTGCGGCGAGCTACATCTAAAACGGTGGATCGCCTGTCAACCCTGACTACGTATGGTCTTGCTAACAACAGACCTTCTGCTTCCCGCTTCACCTATCAGACGGAATAAGTTCCGATGGTCCCAAATAGCAGCGGCCATTCCCATCTCCGATGCACGATCAGATCACTAGGCTTCGCGGTCTCTCTTCACACTAGCACGCAGCTTTGCCCTGAGGTCTTTGCGAGTCTCTTGTTCGCGCCCTGCCTGAATGTGTGAGCGAGTATCCAGAAGTTCCAGAGATTGCATAGAGACTCAATGTCCACAGACTGCAGTTTGAGTTGCCAAATGAAGACATGCCTGCTGTTATTAAGGTCTGACGGATAGGTAACCAGTGGTGCTCTACTAGGTTCAAAGAGCAATTACTTAGCTTGCATGCCAACGTACTCTGATATGCATTTAGAACATCCAGGTTCCCCAGCTGGCAAGTATTTATGTGCTCAAAGGGTCGTCGCATGCGCCCACCGAAGCAAATCGTAAGATCGGCACAAACTAGTGCGTGGTCAGAGTCCACACTGGTGCTCCAAATCGAGCGAGTTTCGAACGCAGCCTCTCCAACAGTAACTGATTGCAATGTGATGGATTTGCGTCCAAGGATAGTAGGCGCCATCTCACCGTGCGGCGGGTGCTGCGTCGGAAGTTAGTGCTCGCGAGAAATGGACGAGCATTTTCACCGAGGTGTAGCAACCGCTCACCGTTATCATTACGGGAGCGTAAACAGCATTGGCCACGCACATGTTGAGTCGACAGCTTTCCAACTTAGGTTTTCAGATCGACAACAAACACTGCAGTGTCCGTACTATCCCGTAGTGAAGGAGCTTGTTCAGTTGCTGATAGAGTTCATGTTGTACCGAGTCAACGTCACAGTTGGTGGAGGCGTAGGCTGCATGACAAACAACCACGATCTATCCCCAGCATCATCATCATCAATACACGTTAGCGGAGGGTGAGAAACACACTTCAGCTAATGGGCTGCAATACAAAAATGTAAGACATTAAGCAATGTAGACTTAAAAGCTATAAAAAGTAACATAATGCTAGTATCACCTTTTTTATGGCTGTTGGAGGGGGAAGCTAAAGGGAAGGGGATCGACAAAGAGACGCACAACACAAACGCCACTGACGTCGACCATTTGCCATGTCAGCTAGTGTATTCAACCAAACGTGTTCACCGTCCTTCGGACGTTATGCAGCATTCGGGAAACACCACGCACGCCAACTTCAAAGTGAGAGACTTCATTCCTCTTGACCAAGTCATCGTTTGGCTTACCCTCCTCTCCGTTCATGCACACCCCTAGCGCGCAAACAACGCACGTCGCGACAGTCCGTGTGCTGGCAAGCGCAACACGTGGCCCATCGGAGCTTGGTGCGTGAAATAACCGTGCTGATCGGCTCCCTCGCTCTTGCTGCAACATATACGTGACATCGAACACGCTCATTGTTCACGTGGTGTTTCCACCCGACATGAGCTAAGCTGCGACGGCACCGGCGACCGAACGTGACGAGCCTCTTTGTTTGTCGACTTGATGGGCTAAGTTTCGAAACCGTAAAAGTAGGGTAGTACGGACGGCTGCATTGTAAACTTTGCCCTTCAAGGCGAGAGTAATGTCACGCCGGCGCCACAGATTAGCACAAGCGCATCGAGCTTAACCGTTCGTGGCCTTATCTTCAATCCAACGGGCGCTGATATAGTTGTCCAGATACTTGAATTTCTCAACGACTTCTAACTTAGGACGGCCAAGGGTCAGTACCGGAGTGGGTCCCTGACAATGTTGGAGAAGAACTTTGCATTTCGATGGTGCATAGCCCGAAACGACTGAGCCAGAGCTAATTTATTCAGTGCAGCTTGACACGTTCGGAGGGTATCTCAGATGAGCGCAATGTCGTCGGCACACTAAAAGTGGAGAAGTCACTCCCTATGGAGAAGCTCCACACCTTCCAAGTCGTTCCCAGCGAACGGCATTTGCATGATTTCGTCAATGGCGAAGTTAAAGAAAAAAGGTGACAGCGGGAAACCTTGTCTCAAACCCATGGTGATATCGATGGGCGGCGACAGCTTGCCGTAAATCCTAAATCTACCCGACCGACGCGCGTATGGTGCTCGGATAATGTTTACATATTTTTCGGGCACACCTTTCATGAGGACACATCGATCAACCGAATCAAAGGCCTCTTTGATATCTAAAAGCACGACTATGGTGGGTCGGCAATAAACATGGCGGTGCCCCAACAACTGACGTAATGTGAAGATGTAGTCAATGCAGTCTCGATTTCGATGAAACCCTGCCTGCTCCCCGCGGGAGTTTAAAGCTTTGAATAAATCAAATAGTCATATGGTGCACACCTAGTTGTTGATTGGGATTTAATCGATCAGGACAGTTTCAGCCCAGGGACTCAGAATAAGGCTAACACCGGCTTGACTGGAATTTGAAGCTGTGCCATCTCCAGCTAAGCGTAATGAAAACTTACCGCCAGTGTCGCTTGTGGATCACAGAGCGAGCACAGAGGAAGTGAACAAGTATAGTCCCAGAAAAAATACTGCTGGATGATAAGTGTCCAATAAAAAAGCAGTACTTAAGTGTGCGTCGTGGAAGACCAAAGTATGGTTCAGCCAGAGCCTGTGGTAAATTCTTAGTGAAGGCAGCGTGTGCTGACAAAGCTCGGTTAGAGGTCAATCAAAGAAAATGATGTGCATTTCATATTGGCTATACCACAGGTGGAGGACAACTTATTATGGGCGAAGAACCATATGCTCCAAGAGTTGCGTTAGGTGATCTGGTGGAAATTTCCATGATAAGAAAAAAAGAAAATATATGACAGGGATGGCAGTCGCTTCTACGTGCACGTAGTTCGGTTCTCTTTTTTGGCTTGCAGCACACGTAGCTGCTGACTCGGGGGCGAAGTGTGGACGCCGAATGCATTGTCAGCCTACCTACTAAAAAGCCCTAGATTCGACAAGGATGATGATGATTCGGGGAGTGCGTTCCAGGGATGGTATTCCAAATAGCCATCCTACCCCGGCAGTCCCGGACCGTGATCTCTTAGATTCGTGTTACTGATGAATTCCAGAAAAGAGCGGCACATATGATTTGGACTGCGCGTGACCACTCAAACCATCATTATGCAGCCCTGTAATCTGCTGTCGTCCGCTAAAGTGATCAAAGGAATTCGACCTCTAAACAAGTTGATAATATCGGAAAAAGAGTAAACATCCCGTAATCTATCTCAGATGAGGCATGCAAAGAATGATGCTTTCTGGGATTCCTAATAAATGGCTTCGGTTGATCAAAAAACCGTTCAGATCAACCTTGTGGGTGAAACCCGTTGGAAATGGGAATGATATGCACCAATGCTGTGTAGTGCTCGATATTTTCAGAACAGTATATGATTTAGCACCAGATTCTTGCCTGCGAGTAGAGGTACGACCGAAACGCGACCAGGAAAGGGTGGGACTTTCGAGACGATGCCCTCATCAATGCGAGAAGCCTCAGTGAGGATGACGAGGTGGTCCAAAGAAAGAGACCAACAGGATGTGTATCTTAATGTACAGCAGTGAGGAAAAAACTGCAGGACTCTAATCACGCGGTGGTTTGATGAGTAGTGCCAACAGAAAAAGAAATTAATATCAAACCTCGAGATGTTACGGCACAATGTACTGAATAGAATTACTGATACAGCAACAGTCCAACATCAACACCCACCTCAAATCGTTCAGCCGGTAGAACGGCTTCAGTGGCTCGTTCATAAATGCGGATAGCCCGACGTGCTAGTCCGTGCTGTTCTTCCAAGCGTGCGTAGAGAAGATACAGACCTAAAGGAGAATGATGAACATCTGACAGGCAAAGGCGAACCTTTAGCGAATTTCTGAGGGCAGTTCTCCAAACACTGTTCGAACAAATCTCGGGCGCGTTCCAGTTTTGTTCCGCCCTACAGATGGAAACCACGGAAAAAGGAAAACAGAAGCAACAATAAAAATATGCAAAAAACCTCTCGATAAAAGCAATCGGATCGTACAGGCTTCTCGGCACGGTGCAAGTGAGCAGCGGTCCCATAGCTACGGAAGTTAAGAAAGTACCAAATGAGAGAGAGAGAACGAAAATGGAAATCGATGAACAAATATACAACGGTGTACCGAACCGCTACTCGGATGTGGAGACCCAGAAGGTTGAGTAGAGTAGTCAGTCAGTGATGTATTAGCAGAAGTAGTAAAGTGATCCAGAAAGCTCGAATTAATGGAAAACAACAGTCCTAGATCACGAAATGCCTCCAGTGAGACGGATTCCGGTTTCATATTACTTCGATTAACCACACCAAGATCAGTATTTACTGGTCAGTTAGTAGTATCCTAGGGTCCGAAAGTCCGTCTGATGCTATGACGGATAAAAGAGACGGGTGATAGTTACGCAACATGCGCATATTCCGGGTTAGCTAGTGGAAAATGTTGACAAGTTCAGTGATTAGACAACCTGACCATCTTTGGCGATCGAATCTTTCAAAGGACTATCGTGTGTGCCATGGGGTGTTCCGCAGTCCCAATTATCCGTTGGAACGACGGTAAAACTGCGCATCGGTCAAAGATAAGGCACGCAAAAATGGAGTGAGTGTTACAGCATAAATGAAGAAATGGATAAGTGCGTGTTGAGAGTTAATTGCATCTATCACAGGTTACGCAAGGCACAACTCGCAACTAGTGACGCCGTCGGGCAAATGACGCGAAGGTCCGTTAAATGATGTTTGACATGAGACCGTATGATCTGGCGGTGAGCAGCCCATGTCGGTTAAGCCACGTGTTCTTATAATGATTATCGGCCAATTACCTTGCTGTGATCGGCTGGCGGTAGAATGGTTAAGGCGCGAGGAACCGCGGCTGTTGTTGGGTAAGTATGGTCGACCGAGTGAGCTTGTAAGTTTGATTGAAGGTCTATACTGTGGTACGCAGGCTATGGCGTGGCTGTGTGGACAAATCTCGGATGATTTCGCAGTTGTATTTGGTGTGGCTGTGTCTTAGTCTCTGCTTTGCATAATATTTATCTTCATGCAATGATGTGCTCTTGATGCTGCTTGCGATTACGGTGTCCGTGTGGTGCACCCTAGTTTCGGAGAAAAAACCTGCGTATAAGACAACCACCAATGCGTCGCTGTTTGCCGACGATTGTGCGTTGTTTGCACACAGTGCGAATGAGTTACATCACATCACTTCGGCGCTCGCTTTCACAGCGGACAAATTCGGATTCACAATAGACACGAGCAAGACTGTCAGTATTTTCCCGCTTTCGCCAGGAATAGAGTTTGTGCGCCTGCCCCAGATCCATACTGGAAACGATGTTTTGGAATCCAGGATGAGCATTTGCTACCTTGGGAGCGTCATATCAACCGAGCAAACTGCGCGTGCGCGTATCGAAAGCGGTTGCTGCATTTGGAAAGCTGGAAACACGTGTGGAACAACCACCAGCTCACCGATGGAACGAAGCTGACGGTATACAAGTCTAGGGTGCTGTCTGTTCTTCTAGACAGCAGCGAAACTTGGACGCTTTATCGGAAGGACATCCCTTATCTGGGGCGCTTCCATCAGCAGTGTCTGCGTCGGATTCGGCACATCGGCTGGTGTTATCGAGTTGCAGACACACAGGTGCTCCGACAAAGTGGCATGTATGTAGTGGACTGCATACTTTTATTAAGGCACCTGAGGTGGCTCTGGCATATTCGCCGTATGGATTCTACCAGTATACCGAAATAACTGCCTTATGGCCAACTTCGTGCCAAGAAGCGGCACGTGAGAAAAACCAAGTTCCGTTCCCAGAACATGATTAAGGTAAGTTTATTACGAACTAATGCTGATTTCAGATGTTGGGAAGCAGTGGCATTGGATCGGCGCCGATAGCGGGAACATTTCCAAAGGGCGGTTGCCCAGGTGCAACAGAAATCACTATTGCATGCGGAAAAGATACGTCGGTTGAGAAAGCGACAGGAGTCGATGATGGATAGCCCATCGACGTGGAGCGTATGGTGCTGCAGCACACGCGGTCGCGAGTGTTTGACCCAAGCTGGCTTAGTAAGCTACCAGCGACGCCATGTTAGACAAACATTTAGGAGAAGATGAGTACTATAAACCTGGTAAGTTCGCTGCTTCCGATTCCATTTACCACTCGGGCCAATCAGGCAGTTGATGTGGTACGTGTGCTATATCATCATTGCATTTGGTCTGTGTATGTACCCGCGTGTTGAGTTCTGGCATTTCAGGGGTTGTTTGGTTGTTGATTGATATCCCCGGTGTGGCTGCGCTTGATGTGAATGTTGACAAGGTGTCTACCTGTCTATTACTCATCACCACTTCTACACTGGTTCTAGGAGACAGTTGGTCGTTGTTGGATGGGATGGGGTGCACAGCCCTTGTAGCCGTGTAGGCCCAAAAAGTGGTTCTATGCATCCTGTATGGAAAGGGCTACGGCCCAGCCATCGCTTTGTGTATGTCTGGTAAGCATGATTTCTCAACCAGACTGGGATGTTACTACTGTGGGCCGGCTCCGTTGATAAAACGTGGCTCCCATCCACATGCCTCCCGGTCTGGTATGGGGTGTGGATGGAGCTGTGGGCGGTGCACCACAAGCCACCCATAGCCGCTTTGTAAGCGCAGGCCTTCTGTGGTTATCCTATGGAGGCCATAGTGATAGGCAAATCCGGAACCCGACGCCGAAAAGGATTAGCAGGATAAGAAGAAATTAGTAGTTCAATGAATGATTTATGAAGGGAAAGATAAATTGCAAAGGGCGGGAGCCATGGTTCTCGAAAAGTAAGACAATCTCGCCAAAATCACATGACCAAATGAGGACTCACGTATCGTTCCATGAATTTCGAGAGATACGCGGCCCAAATATCGTACACGTTGGGCCAACGGAACAATGCGGCGCCTTTTTCATATACCTGAAAATGAGAAGCTACGCAGTTGGGTGAGATGAAGAACGTCCGGACGAGCGTAATAATAATAATAATAATAATAATAATAATAATAATAATAAAGTGGCAGCGAAGCGCCGTTACGGCGTACAGTAGCGCGCGAGCGTAACTACAAGCTGTATGAGGATACCTATCTTCGACGGAAGATAGCGATCACAGCTGATTACCTCACAAGAACGGCATCCTATGGGTTTGATTGAAGGTAATAAAATGCATATATACATGTAAAACAACTTGTAAAATGACTAAAAGTAAAAGAAACACCTTATAAGGTTGTTAAGGACACATAGCGAATCACAAATTAGTAGAAACGTAAAGACTGTTACCAAGATAGTAAAAGGTGCAGCAGCCTAAACAAGCTGTCATAACGGAAAGCTCACCTTAAATGCTTCCTCAAAGTAATTGAGCTCTTCAAGGAAGAGAGCATAATTCATGATAATCTGAGGAGTGGCGATACGAAGATCGATCATTGAGTCGTACGCAGCCTGGTAAACACAGAAGGCAAAATGGAAGGATAGTCGATGAGTAAGGTGATTACAAAGCACTGGCACAAGCTGAGGAGTCGTGATTAGATGCGAAGACCACAAAGCAGCCGGCATTAACCATAATTCCAAAAAGAAAGGCAATTAACTTAAGATAATAATAAGAATGTGTCAGCTGTACGCCGTAACGGCGAATCTCTGCCGTATGACCATCACCAGCCGTGCGAGGCCTGAGTATGCCGCGAGGACGCCCACCTCTAAGCGAATTCGAACCAGTGCCGCAAGATTACGAGACAAGGTTGTTACCACTAGGCTACGTGCCGACAGGCAGGTAACTAGAGCGCAACAAAGAAGCTATGGCGAATAAGATGGAAATACAGGCAACCAAGGAGGGCAACATTAGTTCATGTGCAGGCTGAACACAAAACCGAAATAAACGATCGCCCTCATCCCGCATATGACACCCGTCTGGTTTGTTGCTCGAAGTAAGCAAACGGAGAATACCACGTAGTGGCTGTGCAGGCACCAGATACAAAGCGTAAGGATGACTGATATTTTCTGAGTGAACATTAACCGAGTGTAGATGCGATATATGGGAGCACAGTGAATCAGCTCGGCAGTAGTTAAATCTCGGCCAAGGGGTTTGCGTTCGGAAACATGCGCCGACAGTTAGTTGGAACAAAAATGGCACATAGGAAAACAGTGAAAACTAGTGGAGGCAAGGGAAAAGTACAGTTGACTCACGAGACAATAATAACATACTGCCTAGAAAAGGCTCACTGATAAAAGCTTTGTGGATAAAATATATATGAACGAGCACAAATTACCTTGGTCGTATCAAAAGAGCCGAAACACTCCTCTAAATCGGTGTACAGCGTCCATAGGCGAACTGACTTGTGTAGTCGCGTTTGTACACTTTGTGCCCGATCGTAATAATCCACTTTGTACGGAGGAACCGTTGTGGCCTTTGAGAGTAACTTAAGTGCGATCTGAGGATTGCTTAAATTGGCAAAGGATAGGTAAGAATAGAAAATATGTGCAATGAGCATCAGTAGTGAGAAACAGAAGCAGGATGTTACAAAAATAGGCGTCAATAACGGAAATCAAATGAGAAAATGTATGCATCAGTAACAAAATCTACACAAGAGAACAAATGTGCATTTGTCCAAAAAGACAAACTAATATGTTGACAATCGCTTCTATCAAGAAGGTGGCGGTTCTGTCAGAAATGGCATGTGAAAAGACCTTACTCGTGACGTAGTTCCATTTCAGCCCACTCGCACCAAATGGCTGCCAAGTCCTCCACATGCAAAAATGAGACGCCGGTGGCTTTTTCCAGGACGACCCTGGCGTCCTTCAACTGCATGTGTTCCTCATATAACTTGGCCAAGCCGATCCACAACGAAGAAGGCCTTCCGGCTGTCGCTTTCGCTAGAAAGATAAAGAATAAGAGGATCTGGTGAACAGACACCGAGGCCCAAGCTCGTAGACAATAGTGCATAGACGTAAGAATTCCAAGAAGAGATGCATGAAGCAGTTAGGATTTTTTAAAATGGATAAAATTAAGGAGCACAGTGAAACGGAAGTGGTTGTATGTTTATTCGGAAGAAATAAGCCATCGTTATTGATGTCAAAAACTTCCCGGTCAAAGTATTTTGGTGATTCACTGATCTTCAGTGGTTGTATCAACGAAGCTGGTGTTTGCGAATGAGGTGAATGTCAAAACCTTAGAACATAACTGGAACCGATCGAGAAGTCATGCGTTTGGAAACCGATTGTTTCTAAACCTCACTGAACTCATGTAAATGATGTCTTTTGCCAGGATAAGTAGACAGACCCGTGAAGTTTCGTACGGCTCCAATACGCCGCGGCCATGTTTTTCATCCATACGGAAAGTACGGTCATTGTGGATTGTTGGCCATTATGCCTTCAGCTGTTTCCACAACCGAGCCAGCAATATTACAGATGGGCTTAACCGATACAAGCAGTAGGATGGTTGATTTGATCACAAAAGGCAACAGAATCATCAAGATAGGTAGACCTAATGACCACACTCACGGATTAAGAAGGACTCATAGCAACAGGTGACGTATCAACCCAGTCATACAACAGTGCTTTGCAAACATTATGAACGTAGTACACACATGAGCGTTCGGTATAAGGTTGTTTAATAGCGACCGCCAAGAGGCTAGGTACGATAATAAGTGAACTATACCGGAGTATGTGGATAAGGGCTATTTACGAACAATTTCACCGAAAAGAACAAACAGAGCTGCTCCGATGTGCTCTATCATTATCAATTCAGAGAAAAGCATTAGCCGACTGGTGTAAAGTGTGCAGTCGTTAGAAGATGAAGAATAATCTTCAGCAAGAACTACACAGGTATACGACCCCACAAAAGTGTCACTAAATGAACCATAGACGAAGTTGTGGTGTAAGAATACGACCATGAAGACGTCGACTGTAGGTAAAGTGCGGGGAAAACGGTTGCGTTATTTGCTGATTTAATATGTCTGTGAAGTAGTTCGAAGGCAGTAGTATGAGACAAATAGATAGACTATTAATGCCTATCATATGATGGTATGGTTAAAGCTAAACAGCTACAAATATGAGAGCACCCCACTCTGTAGCGCACGGGCGTTGAATGAAGTGGCTAGACCAATTTTCAGTGGGCCACCAACATCCAGTAACAACAACGCAAGTTACTAAATCCATGTGAATACATGCACTTCGACAGCGCTAATCGACACTGCACCCAAGTGGTACCAGAGGCGTGGCCTCATCGCCCCGTTCGTTCAGGTAATACAGTAACACAGCTCGATGCAGTGAATCCGGTGAACTATCCAATGGTATGTTTGGTTAATTGAAGATAATGAAGCATCAAGTTCCTTTCTCAATAATGGATTCATTCGTAAACGCTTTTCTTGGTCCGGTGCCTCAGACACTGTCAAAGCACTTTCAAATCCAGACAGCTGCTAGTTCGGGATTTTCCGGAAACTGAAAAAGGCAAGGGAATTGCCTGAAGGTTCCGGAATGCATTCACTAGTGGTAGGCGGATACGTAGTTTCAAGAACTCAATGAAAGAGATTCTAAAAGGCATTTGGTTAGTGGCCACAGACGTTCTAATCCAGCAGAGCGACTGTTCTTCACGAACTGCGTGTTAGCGCTAGAAACAAATTAGCTCACATATACGCGAACCACCGAAGCTGGAAAATGAGGCATTAATCGAGTACGCAGTACAGCAATAAAATAGTGTTCTTGTGAGACAAATGACCATGTGCTCTGTGTGTGAGACATAGCTACTGCTGGTGAGGTCAAATTGAGGCCAGGGTGGTTTGTTGTACGATGGATGCTGCGCACCTTGAAGTGAGTGCCTGGGATGTGAAACGGTGCTAATGACTTGAATGCGGATTGCGCCAAGACGAATAATTCGGTCGAAATGTCAAGTATAGCAGACATCAGTTACAGAACGGTTGTCTGAGCAATGCTGACATTCCGATAACAGACATCTCCATGAAGACGTAGCAGCCAATAACATGTATTTCCGTAATCCAGTCAGGAGGCTGGGGTGTCATATAAGCCGAAGCACACGTCTAAAGAAACACTGGTTTTCAGACAGAGTATTCATTTCTTAGTTGGAGTTGGAGTATTCATTTCACTTCATCAGAACATAAAAACGTGACTGTGTATTTCGAGACAGATTGCACGCGCTTGCTTTTATAATCGCCCTTTTATCCTGTTTCTTCCGAACCGCTCAGTTGTATATTCCCAAACTTTCACAAGATCTTTTCGGTGGCAGTGATTTTACTCGCACTCATAACAGACCATTAGGCCATGTGATGTTAATGAAACTGCGCTAAATTTCAGGAGTGGTAAACACATGAGATTGTGCTTGGGGAATAGATAGCTTATTGTCTGGGTGCGTGAATAGGTGGAAAAAGACAGAAATGCCTACCTGGATCGACGGAGGTGATCGCCTCCATGAATGTGGTGATTTGTTCACGCGCTCCCCGAGACTTCATCAGTTCGACACGTTTCATCCATACAGATACATTATGCGGATTTTGACGCAATAACACGCTGTTAAGAAGCAGTGGCCTCTGATCCATCAAGGCCTCCAGGCGAGCCAAAAGCAGCTCGACTTCCAGTTCATCTGAAGAGATAAGACAAGGTAAAGGTAGAGAACCTAACATTGAACTGTATGAGTAGGGAAAGCAACGATGCCTGGAATTGTGGAACTTTACATTGGACCGATTCAAAAGTTAACCAGTTTTGGCATCAAACTACTATAGAACAACTGGAAAGTGCTGTAACAAGTGGAAGGGTGAAAACTAAGAAAAGGCAATGTTGACTGGAACAGACGGTGAGTCAGGAATGCATGAGCATCTCAACTACATCAAGTTGAAGCCATGAGAAAATGATTACGGTAGGAAGGCAAAAGAAAGGTTATATTCACCGTCAGCAGATACATTGGAAGAATTATCAACGCGTTCCATTTGCGCCTTGGCAATGGATTCTTCAAACTCCGCGTACGCATCGAAAACTTGGGTAAAATCCCTCACAGTTGAGACTGTCGACAGGCCTTCAGCATATACATCTCGAGCGCGTGAAAGATTACCACAGCGTATATGATAATCTGCCAGAGAGTTCCACAAAACGCCAACCTAATTTGGATCGATTGACATGAAATAAACTTACCTGATCTTGGTATTTGTTAATACCCTGTCTGATAATGGGGTCTGGTTTAAGAGACGTGACTTTCGAAGGATTCTTGACCAAAAGGCTGCAAAGTTGCTGCCATAGCTGAAACTTTGAACGCCCAGTACGGCTAATGAAGTTGTCATCATTAATGATTTCCGCGAGCGAAACTGCAGCTTCATTCGTGTTGCCTATATTAACCAAAAAGTCGACGAAGCGCTCCATATCATCCGGAGCAAATTTGACGTAGCGTCGATAAATCCTGAGACATGTTTCACCAATGAAATATCCATGCTTGTCTGCGAAACGGAGGTATAAGTTCCAAATACGATCGTGTTGAGTGATAGGCAAAGCCTTCAGCGCACGATCAAAGGTGCGGCGTGTTCGGGTGATGAAGCCTTGGGACATTAAGAAGAGTAGATAATCAGTCCATATGCGAGGCATCTAAAACATGCTTCATCAGGCAAGTATTCCTTACCTTGTGCATTGTGACGAGAGCTCGCTCGTGAGTATTGTTTGTTTCTTCATGCATGAGACTACCAGGACACAGCTGACGGGCATGAATGCGTCTCAGCCTTAAGTAACGATACCATAGTTTGTAGCTAGGGAAAACATAAGGAGTAAGCGCAACGAACCTGCCAGGAAGTTGTCTCAAAGCACGTTCGTAGAGCATGTATCGAACTTTTGGAGGTGCTCTGGACTTCATTTCTATATACCGCAACCAGGACTTGATGCTGTGAGGATTTCGAAGGAGATCTTCCTCATAAGGACGATCTTGTTCATCCTGGGAGAGGATAAGGCTGAATGAGTACTTACGATTACTACAGTTTCCGTCATCCCCGATAAGCCACTAAGTGAGCGGTTCGATTCGGAATGCACCGAAGAGTGGCAAATGAGGACTGAAAAATAAAAGCTACACATGAGAAGGATATGTAAAAGGACAAAATCACGCGCGACAAATATACCCATGGAAAACAACGAAATTTTAGAAGGGGGTATAAGGAAAAAAACAGATTGAGATAAAATCTTGAACATAATGAGTTCGAAACATGCAGGGCGAATGAATAATGACAACCAAACAGTAGTGTAAGTCAGAGAGCGTGCGTGTGTGAAGAACGGTGATAAAATAGCTTAAACGAAGTGAACAGCGTATCCAGGGAAACCAAAAGCAACTCAGCCTGGCGGAAGAGCTTGCAAATTGATTAGGCTTGCATATGGCGACAAACGTCATAATGTCTTGGGCGTCACTATCATTTTGATAGCTACTGGCAACAAACGATTATGGATTAGCCTGTCAACTGATATGCTAGAGAGGTGAAGGAAGTATTGTTTTACTGAAAAATCCTCGTCCTATTCCACTCCATATTTCGTGCTCTAATTATACGGAACGCTCGTGATATGATAGCCAACTTAGCTTGTACCATTTTGATCGCTTTGTAAACCAGAAAAGCTAGATGGGCACATAAAAGTTAACTACCTTCAAACGAAAGATTCGTCGTTTCAAAATCCATTCGAACTAGCTCCAGGCTGTACAGGGTTTTCAGTCGAATCGTATAGAAACGCTCGCAAATCACAGCTTGCAGACTAGTAACCATTACATCTCAAAATGCGCCACAGGTGAAGGCGTGTTGACGAGGCAATGTTACAGGCAATTTAAAGACGACAAGGAAATTGCTTATAAAGGATTTTCCACTATGGGCTCAACTGTCTTGCAAAACACAAACAGTTGACCCTTTTGACATGACCGCTTCCTTATTGGGTAAAAGCATACTCAAAGATATAAAGGGTTTCGATGACTATGTAGACCTCTGTGATTGAGATAAACGATTGGTGAATTACCCACAATATACTGAACGCTTGCAAATGTTTTTCCATTTGTTTCTAAACGAAGGATAATGTAAGAACAGGCTACCGCTTCAATCAACTTGAGATAAGTGAGGAATAAGTGGCCAAAGAACCGCTGATAGAGCGGTGGAAACCGATTAAAACTAAGCAGCAGTTCGCAGTACGTCGTATAACGTTACTCATGAACAAGCATAGTATCAACCTGCAAGATCTATCTCACTGTTACCCATGCCCCCAAAAATATGGAAAACTAGTCTGGACGTAGCACTCGAGGTGCGACCTAACCAAAAACAACACGATAAGCATTTGCTGGTGACCGGTAAAAGCGCACGCGGACATATGCTAGTTCGATCGCTTAGTACATACTCGAAAACTCTAGTGCCAAAGTCCCCGTGATTCATTCAGATTAGTCAACAAACAGAACACTGCTCGCCTACTGCAGATCGCTGAAGTCTCGGCGATTCGGCGGATCTAGTGCACTTGGTGGGAACAGACAGACTTAGTAGATAGCCTCGCTTTGTCTTCCATAAGCGCATCGAGAATTGCTTTTCCAGACGTTGAAATAGAAGACTGCTATTTCTACCTGTACCAAAGCCTCATCAGGAAAGTGATCAGCGTCGGCCTAAAGACTGCATTTGAAGCGTATATACACACAAAACTGCGGCTCAAGTATCTGACTGTGCTAATCATTGTTCCCGTCTGTCATGTGAGAGGAGTTCTGATAAACTTGTCGCCATAGTTCCAGTTGAAGAATCATACAATGCGATGCTCGCAAACTTCCTCGCTACATGTATTGCGAGTATAGCAAACAAAGAATTACAAATCCCATCTCAAATATGGAACCATCATGATGTAGGCCTTGAGCTGTCGCTTAAAATTATAAACTGTTGTGAGGGATTCAGCAACGCCTTAAAATCCTTAGTTCACTGCAGTTATCCCAGCATGTTGTCAATGGAGCGACGATTGTGTTGTACTTGGTAGCTTCGACCACAAAGCGGTTTGGAATGACCTGCATAATCTGTGGGTCGTCACCGATCAAGGCAATATCAGCAGCATAATCCACGTCAGTCGCGCGGTTGCCTGGAAAAAGCACAACGCCAAAACCCTGGAGACCTTCCAGAGTGCTTACTATGATATCCTCAATCGTTAAGTTGAAGAGTAACGGGAACACTGGGGCATCCCTTCCGCACACCGCTGTGACGGAGAAAGGTAAAGGGCGTTCTCACTCTACCAGAGACGGCGGTCTACTTTTTGGGTACCCCGTTCTTTTGCAGACGCCATAAATCAGACCATTCGACCGAGTTGGACGCAGCTCGGATGTCCGGAAATGCGACAATGGTATGCTAGTGACAAAGATGACGCTGCTAGAGGAGTTGGCAGAACGTAACCGTGCTCTAAACCCCAGTCTGTTACTCGCAGTATTAGTCCGCGGAGTAGAATGGTGCTAGCAATCCAGAGGCGTCGGATATTAGACTGACCCCTCCGTGGTTGACGACACCCTTTGCGAATATCGGTACAATAACCGAGTGGCCCAAAGATGGAACCATTTCTCCACACCCAGTGTTGGAAAACAGAGCTGTTACCTGGTTGACAATTGTCTCGTTCTCGTACTCAAACAGATCCGGATAAAGGCTGTCTAAGCCAGCAGCCTTGAATCGCTTTAACTAACAAAGCTCAACGTAGACCTTCGCTTCGGTTCGTGGTTCAAAGGAAACGTTCCAAGGCGCGCAATTAGGCATAATTGTTACACAGCCGGTAGGGGAAGGTCTACTGAACTAGGAGTGAAATCGCTCACTCCAGCGGTCTAAGCGCCTACCCAGATTATTGGCCGGTGATCCACCAACCTTGCGCTTCTCTGTACAATGTCTACTGACTGCGCATGAGCCATGAAGTTGCACCGCACACAATCGGCCGTTAATTGGAAACCAATCGAGCAGCAAGACTTCAACTTTGTCTATCAATGCGATGCCAACACCAGCCAAGCCAGCTGCTGCTTCTGTATCATCAAACAAAGGCAGAAAATGTTTGGTCTCGAGATCAGAATGGGACGTCAACTTAACTAGGGTGCTGGAGTCCTGCAATCGAGTCTCAGAAGGACAAGAGACATCAATGGTGAGACTCTTGAGGGCGCGCTAGGCTGGCCTATAGTCCGATCTGCATAAGGGTACTAACGTTGAAGGCCGCCAGCCGGATTGGGGATCGAGATGTAAGGGGGCAACTGGTCAGACATGGGCGAGACTGTTATGGGAAGTAGATCCAAAGGAATTAATGCCAAGGTTAAGATTGGTGTACAATAGTCCGAAAGAAACTTCAGAATAAAGCAGTACTACTATGAACGAAATGAAACATAAGTATGTCGGTTTTGGTCAGACTAATACACAGAAGACTGCGGTGGACGACAGGTCTGATCTAAAACAGACTGGGGCAAGTGCTGTTCAGCTCAGTTCAGTTGAAAAACTAAAACTTGAGCACCAAAGTGCAGTCCATCAAGTGACTACAACTCACCACACCAGAAGATCAATAAATAACAATGGTACGGAAATAAGATTGGACGCAAAGAGAATACGAAAAAAACTGAAGTGCGCATAATTAATCGAAGTTGAATGAATAGCAAAAGTTAGGTGCGAGAAACCGATGAAGGAACGCCACTGAATGCGCGACTGCGCCATGTCTGATAGTTTCTAACAACCGGTATTGGCCATCCTGAGGCCTTCACTCACGAAGAAAACAAGCACGAGCCAAAATGTCGTTTACAAGATACAGTGCGAGAACTGTGAGAAAGACTATATAGGTCAAACGGGGAGAAAACTATCCACAAGAGCACAAGCGTGTATGTCGATAGCATTATGTATCGTCACAGATCTCAGCGCATCTCGATGAGGAAGGACACGAGGTTAACTGGGACAACACGGAAATTCTGGCGCACGGAGGGACAAGAAAAAGGAAGGGAATCCCTTGAGGCATGGTTCTCCACGGAGAATTTAGTGAACCTTCGCAATGACCTCGATCATGTGTACCTACAGTTGAGAAAGCGTGAAACTGAGTGGCCAAATATCGAACAAACAGAGGTCACGGGACACAGATCGACGAGGCCAATTTCAAGCGTTACGTCCCGACGACACTTTCCGTAAGATTTTCCTCTACAGAGCAGTGCACTGAAGATGTTACTGAGGGAAGTGGTGAAACTTTTGTCATTAAATTACTCAGCTCGGAGAACGAATCAAAACGTTAACTAGCAACCCGAGCTACAGGTATTCCGAATCATTGCAGTCTCTCAGTAAATTTTTCATGCCTTTATGCCCGTCGTCGACTGGACACCTCGCGGTTTCGCACCGACGTCACATAATGCACGCCAAAAAAGCCGGGCGGCGGTCAAACAAAAGACATGATTTAGCCAACGAAGACGGTTTAAGTTCAAAAGTTTCTTATCAAAAACAAAATGTTGAAACACAGTATTACTCATCAGGTTCCCACTAGATGCGATCAAGAACCCGCTAGCACCGGTGATCAAACACGACCATGAGTTTGTCTATTGCGAATTGGCCGGGAACATGATCTATCCAGTAACACTTGCGTTATTAAAGCGTTATACGCCCTACCTCTCACTGACAGCCTGATACCCCGCCGTGTGCATAAATGATTCAGTTGAACAACTATGATTCAAGCACCGAAGTGCGGTGGATCCAGTTACCATGAGTCACATTACATTGATAACAATACATAACAACGGCAAAATAGTTGGGTTGAATGCAAATAGAATGTAAAGAAAATAAAAGGATGTGCGTTAGACTAATTATAACGGGGCGAAACTGAACAACCAGAGGCAAGAAACAGAATGCAGTAAAGCCACTGACTGCGCACCGTCTGATACGGCCCCCAACCATTCATGTGGACCATCCTGAGGCCCCCATCCACGAACACAGCACGCACCAGCCTGACCAAGTCTCTTAGTCAATTTCTTCCTGCCATTATGTCAGTCTATGAACGAGTCATCTCGCGATTTCGCCCAACTTAGTGAAGTCACGGCGTACTATGCACGCCGAGGAAGTCGATTA